GAGGTTTTCAAACAAGCATATGACCTAACGATAAGTACCAAATATTTAGTGCCAAATCAGCCATGACAACTCAGGCGAAGAACGGGTAACTACGGTTCGGAGGTTCCAAAATGGAATCTCAAACCTAATAAGCCTAAACTATAAAATTTTACAAATTCATGTTTCGGTCGTATAAAAACAATCGTCACTTGTTTGTGTACTTATTATAATTATAGTGGCCTAGAAACTCTTACATCACACCCTTACACGAGTAATAAAGTAGCAGCATATATACGTATATTTTGCATTCACATCTAGTAACACATGCATCATGTTTCTCCTACTAAAATAAAGTTTCTGTTGTTATAATTTTGTACGTATTTTGCACATTATTTGTTATTACCAACTAAGTCCAGTATATATATATATTCTTATGTGATTTTAAGTGGTGCTCTCTCTCTCTCTCTAACAAAGCGGCACCACTGAAAATCAACGCTATGTTCGAAAGAACATGGCATATAGCGGAGTCAAACCATTTTGTGACTTCTAAAAGAAAGAGATTCTCAATATTTGAGAATTAAAAGTATCTTGTATGTTAATCGTATTAAATTAATACATGGAGTAAACCATTCATTTTCTTGCAATGATAAACGCGATAATATATTGATCAACAAACATCTTTACAAATTTAATGAGTAATTATAACATTAATACAAAGATGAATTTAAAAAGGAACAAATTTCTTATAGTAAGTATCCATAGTGTAAAATTTCTAAATGTCTAATAACTTCAATCATGTATGTTCAACTAAGACCAATAATTTATTCTTCTTATTGATTTAACACATTCATTCTAAAATAATATCTCGGTCTCGGTGAATCACGACAGGCTAAACAATTTCTCTCCGACATTATAATGTGTAACAAATAGTTATAGTTCACAATTCTGACGCGATATGATGTATGTCCGTTACATCGCATTACCATAAAGCGCATATATTTCCGAAGCGAGGGATATTAATCTATGCAAACTGGCCTTTGTGCTTCGTGGAGACAGGAAAAATTATGCATATATTTACAGCGGCATTTTAGTCGCCTAGATTACCTTTTAGTTAGGGAAAATAAATAGACTTAATTTGCAATACAGGCGAAATGAGAATTCTGTTTTTAAATTTAGTTTTTAATCATTTACTTTCTTATTAGTAAACAATTAAGTCAGATTAATTTTAATCCAAATAATATTAATTAATTTTTGTATTAATAAACACGAATTTTCAAATGAGTAAGCTTACTCTTTTGAAATTCCGTGTTTATTCCGAAAGTAACGTTGAACTAGCCAGTCCAACATTACATACGAGTGAAACTTAAACCCCGTGTCCAGGTAGTTTAGCGATGGAACAAGGGTGTACTTTCAAAGAATCTGTTACTATTACTTATGGTTCGGTCGCATAATTAGCTTTCATGCCTCTGCGTAGGTACTTTTTATTGTTTGCTGTCTTGACATTGTTTGTAAGTTGTATTTTGTATTTTGTTTTTTGAAGTAAAATAAAATGCTTAAAGATTATTATTACAATGATTTGAGGTTGATAAAAGATGTAAACGAGGTTAGAAACCTACTTTACTTATCCAATTATACTTATAAAATCGTGGAGATAATTATATCCCCCCCCCCCCCCATTACCATTGTTGTAGAATTTCAATATAATAATTTAGAATTTAAAATATCTATTGTAACAATTCATCATCATCATCATATCAAACGTTAACTGTCTACTGTTGTACATAGGCTTCTCCCTATAAGGGGGTAACAATTGAGGAATCATAATTCTCAACTCGTCTTTCCAACAATTGAACCTGTAGGAGCAAGCAAGACAGAGAGCAAGGCATTGTTTACTAGACCTGACATCTAAAAAGTATGCACGACACAAACTTTTTCTATTATTAACTGCTCTTAATTTATTGCCTACTTATATTGTTATTAGTTGCGTCTTTATTTTATGTTTGTTACATTAATTTTATTTTACAAACTAATTTAATAATAATGGATGCAAAAAGGATAATGTTTTACAAAACAGATTGTGAAAAAAGGGTCTTATCTGAATCTGATGTATTTAACTACAATGAAATACCTATCAAAATATATCTAGTAAGAGTTGTTTGATCATACCTACCTACACCTCATGCCCAATGTGATAATTATTTCTATTAATTCCAAATTATATTCTATCACAAATATTACTTTTCAAGTTAAATTCCTTATTTATCATACGTACAACAGAATATGGCGACAAACCAACAAAGCAAACAAACAATAATCACGAAGTTTTAAGCGGGAAACGGACAGACCAGCTATCTCGGTTGTAAGTAGATCTGACTCTATTGTGATTGGTTATACGAGACTTAAACATGGTCGCGGAGCTCAGATAGGAAAATAGTCCGATTAACAGCTGGATTCGATGTTTAAGTGGTGGCGAACACTACATTTGTTGTAATCGGCCGTTTGAAAAAGTAAGGCTCATTAAATGTCAATGAACTCGGGCCTAAGTGCAACCTTGAATTAGGCTTTCCTAGTCTGATGTTTTTATTAATAAGACAGTTAATGATCACGACATTTTAGGTTAAGATCCCTTTGCTGATTTCTGCAGGTATAAAGTTATTTAATGAAAGAATAGTGGAAGACATTATATTTCTGCTATTTACAATGCACTAGGTTTTATGCTTTCAGTTTAAACATGAAGCAGTTTCATTAAAATATTTTTTTAATGAAACTGCAAAAGTATTATATAAAAGTTTAAAAAACACCAGCAGAAGTCAGCAACGGGATCTTCACCTATTGTAAATTGAAATAAAATATTAAATGGCTGATTTTTATGAGTATAGAATTGACGATAGCACCAATACCAATAGTTTGCATGTTGTTTCTAACTTTATATAACATATTAGCTGTAAACAGCATTGATAAGAATGTATAATTAGGCATTTTAAATCAGGCTTGGTTGAATAACAACCTTTTAATTTAAATGTAAAGTAATGTGATATTTTTAATAGCAGAAATGTTTGACTTACTGAGCTTATGACAAATTAGTTGTCCTCGAAACATCTAAATATGTTACGTATGTAAATTGTCTACAGCAATAGTGCTGTAATCATATCAGCCGTTTGTCAGAACATAGGCCTTCTCCATAAAGGGGGATTTTGCCGGTAGTTGCTACGCTTGGTAGTCAACCAACCGCAGTAACATAGTAGTTGGTAACCGCAGTTAGGCTTTTGGTGATGTTTTAAAAAGGACGTTGCTACCCATCGCTTGACCAGTAAATTTCCTTAGTCGCCTCTTACGAAACCTACGTGAAAGGAAGGGGTGGCCTTTCTATGCCGGAACTACACGAAAATTTCATATAGAAGAGGCAAAATGTGGGCCTTTTTAACTTATATTTCATCATGATTTTATATAGAGGACATCTTGGAAGAAAAGATAGAAAGTAGAAGGGAAAGACTGATAAATGATTGTATGATACAGATAAGAGAAATTTCAGATGTCATGTCGTATGTAGAGCTCAAGAACTATATTCTTGAGTCTGGGATAGAGTGATTTGGATTAGAAAGATATACGATTTACGCTTTGGAATCAACTTCTAGCAGCAATATTTCCGAACCGATATGACATCATAATCTTCAAGAAAAGAGCATATTTCTTTTTAAAAGGCCAGCAGCACATCTGGAATGCTTCTGGTGTTGTGGGTGCACATGGGCGGCAGTAGTTACTTACCATTAGACGAGCCGCATGATCGTTTGCCCCTGTGTTACATATATAAAAAAATGTAGTTGTTCCGACAAATGGAAATTATTAAACTTTTAACAGAAAACATTGTCAAGTAGAGTGAATTGTATGAGTAGAGGCTTTGAAAAAATATAGTTTTTTAAAGTTTATAGTATACTAATTACTCGTGGCTTCGTGCGTTTCCCTTTTAAATTGATGCTTCGGGCAGGGATGCTTACTTTATAAAATAAACTTATGTTCTTTTCAGTTTTCTAGACTTAGTAGTTTTGGCTGTGTGTTGATAGTCAGGACCAACGGTTTTATGAGTATTTGTATAAATTTAGCTTAATGTCAAGACACAAACAGACATGGAGCTTATTTTTCGATGTTCTTTGTTGTTATTTCGATATACCTACCCATAAACTATATGTAAAAAAAAATTAACATAAAATCTTGTATTCTCTATGATTTTATTATATGTAAACAAGAACACACAAACATAAATTTTACTTTACATAAAAAGCTGCTGCGGGTTCTTTACACAGTTCGTGTCGAATCGATGTAAATCGACGGAATTCGGAAGCCGACAACGATTAAAGTAAGATGTTAGTTTTTATCTGCTCCCGCGCAGCCGTGAGAGAATTTATATAAATTTTTCATCGTTATTTTTATGGTCCAATAATATTTTAAATATATTATTGATTAAAAGTGTTATTTTGATACTTAATTTAACAGAAACAAATTTAAACAATTTGTCAACGAGAAAAGATTTTAGAAATATTTTATGTCGCAATATAGTTGTTTGAGATGTATAATTGATTAAATGTGTTAATTTGGTGTTTAATTCAACAGAAATAGATTTTAAATAATTTGTAACTGGGAAAAATTAGTATTGAGAAATATTTTAAATAGATATTATAATATATAATATCTATATTCTAAATAAATCAACCGACTTTTAAAAAATCATAATTCGACTCAATGTTTTGGATGTATGTATCACATTTTCGACTAGGTATTTTGAACCGATTTTGTCGATTCTCTTTTTGAATTAATTGGTCGTCGTAGATTTTTTTGATTATGTCAAGCTATTAATCGCTTTTATGGAACAATCCTGCTATGTAGGTGTTATAATATTGTATTTCATTTTCAATATTTGATAAACAATATTTATTGATAGGGACCATAAAAATTGATAACTCTCAAGTGGTTGATTAATATTATCAGTCGATGCATTAAGCTAGAGATGTTTATAGTTTGTGTGCAATCTGCGGCAGCAAATACTGTTGCGGAGTTACTTTTAATTTTATTTATATTAAATTAAACAAATATTACAGTGCGGTTTCAGAGGAGTTCCCTATCGCATATACTCAGGTTGTGGATATGGGATTCTTAAAAAAGGGTGTATTAAGGTTTCTTCAAGGTCAATAATATGCATGTGACACCCCTAGTGTTGCAGGCGTTCATAGGTTACAGTGACCGTTTAAATGGCTGTTAGCTTGTTTGTTACCTTCGTGGTATAAAAAAAGTATGTACACGCTGTAATCCTTAATAAGGTAGGCACTGTTATTTATTTGCTGTTGCATTGTCATCAGAAGTTAGTATTAGTAAAGAAGTATAAGGCCTAAAGAAGTATAAAGTAAGAGGTTCCTAAGAATAGCATCACACGAGAAATACCGTGTATCATATAATTCTAATTATTGGGTTCACGAAAAAAAGTAAAGTTGGTCTTGACGCCATTTTGTTTTAATTATAAAGATTTTGATAATAAATACGTCTATATAGGTCTATATAAGCCATTTCACGTTTTGTTATTTAATTTTTATGTGATTGTGCTTGATTGATTGAGTTTGTTTGATTTTTTAAATAACCTCTTGTATAAATTAGAAACGAACTGTTAGATACAAGGTATAATCGATATTCTTAGGACTGATTATTTTACCAAAAGAAACAAGTCGAAAAATGACAAACATTCGTGTTTCTACCATGAAGCAGTTGTGTTTGCATGCCTGTGTTTCGATTTGAAGGGTGGGATATGGCGTGAATTTACTGGGTACAGAGGAATAACACTTGAGTCCTCAGGAATGGCAACGCATGGGGGTATCATGGGCGAAACAGTATGCTCTGTTATGTCCATGGTACTGCTCATGTCTATAGGCGACGGTTACCACTTTCCATCAGGTGGGCCGTTAGCTTGTTTGCCATTCTAAGTTGTATAAAAAAAAAATTAAGCTTCCCATACTAACTGGCGTGTGTCAAATTAATATGGAAAACACTATATATTTTTTTATTGTTTTACGACTCGTGTTTCATTGAAATGACTTTAGTTTCACTGGTAAAATATTTCCTTTAAAATATACTAAAGAATTCGATTTCATCCTGCATATGTAGTGAAAATCAATTATTATTCCTATCAAAATACTTTAATCCCTAGATGCTTTGCGTAATCTAAGATGTATATGAAACTTGGCATGTTGTAGAGGAACGTTTATTTAATGCAGACATACGTTTTCTAATCTAATTAGCATCTGTCATCCAGTCTATAAAATATAGGCATTACCTGTTAAGCAACGGCTACATTTCGATTCCTTCATTGAAAGGTTTATTGCTCGTTTCATCTACAACTTGGCATTAAATAATTAACATTAATATATTAAGAATAAAAAAAAAACGTTTTTTAATTATAGCAAAATTAGTTGTTTTGATTTCAACACTATACTATTGAACCTATTTTCATAAAATTTATATGGGATCAATCTGTAAATATATCCTTTCATAAAAAAAAGGATTTTTCATATATGCTTATAACTGACAAAAAAAATGTCACGGAAAAATGGAAAAACCCTTATTTTGTGTTTATTTTTTTCCATACAAAATGTTCCAAGCTTATTTGTTATCCAAGAGTGCTTGCAGTATCTTTCTCACTGAAATCTAACAAAATATATCGCATTTATATCGGCTTTACCTATAAAATACTAGATTTTTATAATACTATACTTTTGTAACTTCGGGTTTACCTAATTAATGTAGAGTAAAGCCGATAAATAATTATAATGCCGTTTGACTCATGATAGTTATTATTCAACGAAACCTGTTATTATAAAAAAAAAAATACTCGTACTAGTTCGACCTATCTTGAGCAGTGGATGAAGTGACAGGAACAAATAGAAGAAGAAGGATTAGCGAATTGACAAATACGCAGCGGTAGTTCCCTGCGCATTATACGGTTTTTGTCGGAAATAAAAATATTGCCAAACTATCTAAAGGATATACCTACAGATTGGTTCCAAATAAATTTTATTAAAATCTGTTCAATAGTTAAGTTTTAAAAACAAAATAACTAGTTTTGCCACAATTAAAGTCGTTTTTTTTTGTGAATCTTTATTATTTGCATTTTTTCATACATACTAAGTAGGTTACATGATAACTTCGTCAGTTCTGATGATTCTTTTTGCGATCGATAGGATTTTCTTTTTTTAATAGACAGTTTTTTTCGTGAAAAAAAACATAAATCTCATGTAATTTCAGAAATCTAAAGGTGAAGAATCTAAAGTAAGGAATTTGTCCAATTGCAATTTGTATCACATTGATAAAAATACTTAAACAGATGATTTTAATGGTTGGCGTTGAGCCACTGAGTAAGAGAGGTGGTAAATTGTAATATTTAAAAATATACTTTCTTGTATTTGCTTTAAGGTAGATATTAATTTTATATAATTGAATTGCCTGTGCGTGTATATGAAACGATAGTGAATTAGTGACTATCACGGTGATCTCGCGTGTGTCCCTAATGTGATAAGAGATTGATATTAAATTTATGCTTAATTTCAATTTCAATGAAGTTTTAAATCTATTAATTTTGTCTCTATCTGCTACCTGTATATGCTTGTACAACTACAAACGATGCTTATTAATTATTTGTACTATTTTAAATATCTGGTTTAAGGGCAATGATTTATTTTAATAGTCTAAAAATATAATATTCGTAATACTGGAAATTTACTACCGTGAGTCATACTGTATTGTAATTATAGTAACTAGTCAGGCATCCCCGAATTTAAAACGTGAGTAAGCCGACATTAACAATTACAATATTGTAAATATAAATAAATAAATAAAATGACAGCTGTCTGATGGGATTAATTAGTCTAATTACAAGATTAATATTTTTATTAAAAAAAATGATTAAAAACATACACTGTTTTTGTTTAAGACACTCGGTATACTTACATATTATTGTTTCATGGTCGGAGAGTTAACTGGAAATTTAAATAAACCCACAATGTAACTACAAAGTAGAAATTGGTTACAAAGTGTAAACATTTAATAAATAGCTGTTTGTATTAAATTAAACGGATATCTACGACTCCTTTCATATACGGTCTAAACAAAGTAAGATGGTAGATAGTCATTGCACCTCATCAACGGCGACTTTCCACCGGTTTCTGTAATTAACGTAATTTGTGTTAATGTCGCCGGTTGTTGTAAGATAACGTCTTACGCAGGATTAGATGTTTATAAATTGATTTAATTAAAGTAAACATCTATTTATATGCGACCTCCGTGGTGCATTAGTAAGCATGTTACTTCACGGAAATCCCGGGCTCGATTCTTATTCGGGCCAATCTAAGAAACGAACTTTTTTAAATGGGCTCGGTTCTGGGTGTTTTGTGCAGTGGCTCAAGACATTTGCTTTCTGATATAATACCTATAACACAAGGTGTGACCGTGTGGTCCTGGCATAGAATAGGCTACCCTTTCGTTTCCCGTGAGTGTCGTAAGAGGCGACTAAGGGAGGACGAAGGATCGGCAGCAACGTCCATCTTAAAAAATCTCTAAAGCCTAACTGCGATTGTCAAACGTGGCAACTATTGGCAAAATCCCACAAGGGGGGAGGCTTATGTTCAGCAGTGGACAGTTAAAGGCTGATATGATAATGATAACACAATCGTATCGTAGCTTAAGAACCAGGCACCTGGTATGATTACGTGGCACTTATTATTATCATCTAGTTTAGTTTTTACGTGACTTAAAAAGTTTTCAAAGCACCTGGATTTTTCGGATATCGACTCTATTGTATAATGTACAAAATATACTTATTTTTTTTAATAATGTACTAAATAACACATAAATGTAAAAGTTGTAGGTGAACCTTATGAAATAAATAAATAAATAACACCATAGTCGTGGAAAAATAAAAAAAAAATAACCATGCAATTGCTACGTTTTTTGCAACAATAGGGAGTAATACTATGGTATTTTTAAGAACGAATATTATTATTATAGTATTTCATCGAAATGATACGAGATTTTTTTTTTTATATCAATGAAAATGAAATGATAAACGTGATGCGCTGTTTTAATTTTTTGTTTTATATAGTTGGGTACTAGTAGTAGGAGTGAAGTCAGGTCAGTAAAAAATCACCAGGAGTTAACAAGTTTCCAGAGATTGTGTAGAGATTGTAAGCAAATATATGAATCGCTGTAAAACGTCTTAGATACTGCAAAGTAGGCGAAAGATTTTTCTTTTGATGTAGAACAATTGTCATTTACAGACAAAAGATCTTTCAAAATGCATGCTATTTTAAATATACAATACTTTCTATTCAAATGAAGATATGATGAAGATAGTTAATTTATGATGAATATATTTGCCGATGCAAAAGATAAGCGTCTCCTTAGATCTTTTTTGTTCGCTCTCTGTAATAAAAGGAATGTTTGTGGTTAACTCTCTGTCGGTCACTGTCAATGCTATTTTCGCTTTAACATTTTTTTAATTAGTATGGATTTAGTATATTTATTTGTAATTGTTTTTTATTATATTAGAACTACAATTGAGGAATAATATTTTAAGATGTGAAATAAAATTTGTTTAAAGTGTCTTTTAGACGATAGTGTTAACATAATCTTTGTATTGATTTTAGGTTTTAAGCACTTTTTTTCGGGATAAAAATTTAAAAAGAAAATTAATTGTGTCCATTTCTTTGAAATTTTAAAATTCTAAAGTGAAATAAATAATAAATATAATAAGTAAAATATCATATTCCTTGGGGGGGGGGGGGGGGTTTGACTAGATTCATATAGGTATGAGTATTTTGTTTATTTATCTTAATGTTTTAAACATGACAAAAATATTTGCTGTTCTATGTATTTGTATTTTGATAGAGTGAAACTGAAATCGTTAGCATCCTTTCTGGATCATTCTACCAACTTTGCTAAGCATTTTTACTACAGGAACGTGGGCTGAAAGACAACAAAAAGTATGAGCCTATCATATTATATATTACACACGACGCGTTTGTTGTTATATCATTGTTGATTCACGAAATTTCTATCTTAATATATTCCATTATATTTTTAATTTTTTATACTACAAAACTGGTATACAGCCCATCATATGTAAACCGTACATACATGGTAAACGGGTGTGAATGCATTGCATGGTAGAATCTTAGATTTACGTACCACTAACCATTTTAATTGTATATAAAGGTGATGACCTTTATGTTTAGGTATTTTATCTATCTATCTATATAATTAAATTTATATTCCTCTCGTTTATATCTATTGACGCCATACTTATTTGCCACTAAATCGCAACAGCTCTAAACCGGTCTATGCGTAACGCATACGTACTTTGCGACTTTGCGGTTAAATCTTTTATCGCTACCAAATCGACTGTCGTAAATCCAACCCGCGGTCCATTGTTGCAGTACACTGTACTTATATGGGAGCGAGCAAAATAAATCACGAACAAAACCATATCGGCACAATCGTAGACTATCTCTGTTCGGATCGACCGCGGGGGGCTGCTCCGAGATACGGAGATATTACGCTATTGAATTAGCATTACCGCTGTTCCCGATATTGTTCAGAGCACAGCCATATTTCATAATTCAGGGCTGCATTATTTTAATTTTCGTTCGATACGGAGTGGGCGACGGCGGTATGTCGTCGAAATCGTGCAAGATCTCGCATCGCGATAGCGTTAGCAATCTTCACATCTCGAGCCGCTCTCGTGGCTCGCGTGGCACCCGCGGAACGCGTCATGCACATGCAGCATCTACTCAACTGCTACTTGTATATGCACATGTATCATGTATACCTTCAGATTTATTAAAATAACATCATTAACGTCTTGTATTTGTTATAGGTGGCACAAAGACCTGAATTACCTTTACATCGGCAGCTCCGCCTATTGAATGTAAGTTGACAAAAACATTATTTGCTCTAGTGATTCTATTTTAAAGTTCTTTTAAATCCATTATACACGTAAATGAAATTAACGAAACATGTTTGTATCTATAAGTATAAGAATCTGTTTTCGCATATTTGAAATAAATACCTATCATTGTCTAAAGAAGTATTTTTGGATGATAATCGTATCAAGCATCAGAACATCTTTTGTTTTGAAAAATCTTGACAATCGGCCAACAGTACATATTATGTCGGACACCTTAAGTGTATCATTGTTGATTCAATGATAAATTCATCGATGCTGTCAAATAAAATCATTATTCAATTATATCTCGCGTGGCGCACGATTGTCACTTGACCGGCCCGAACTCCAGAAATCAAATCAGACGTTAACCTCAATAATGGTATCGGGGATCTATTGCCGCGGGTGAATCGGTCGGATATTGTAGATATTGAATAATAATTGGTGCACACGAGTCGTTCCGGGCGGCTGCGGTGCGGCGGCGGGCGTCACGATAGAGATGCTATCTGGAGAGCGTGCCGCATCCATCAGCTCGGTTGGCTGTATCTGTGCCGGTATCGGAACCAGCGATAACCATTGTCTTACTGAACGATTATATCGGCGAAATTTGTGCTCGCCCCCGACGTTTGTCTTTTGCCGCAAATGAGTCGGGTAATGGGCGATGGCGCATAAAAGGAGCGCGTTTGTGCTAAATATTGCCTAGTCATTAATTTGTCGTGGGAATAGAGAAATCGGTTTCGTTGACTATAATCAGAATTTAATATCAAGGATTATTAAGATTGCATACAGATAAAAAATTATAAACAAACTGAACTATCTGTCTTGCTTGCGACACATTGCTTTTATAACTTTTTGATCGGTAGTAATAAGAGGGTTTGTTTTATTTATTTTGTGACTTTAAACTACAGAAAAATAAAATTAATGTTACACAGATGTAATATTTTAAATATATATCTAAGGTATACACTTATGCTCCCCTTTTGTTCACACGCGCAATAAAAAAGAAAAATAAGAAAGAGAAATTATTAGCCAGCTTATGCTACTGACAGCTCCATATCCCGTATTTGGTTTATAACGCTCTTGTAATGGCTCGAGCCATGAACTCGATAGAGCAAGGTGCAGGCATTTAAGCGCAGTGCTGATTGTGGCCGAGACCACTTAATAGCATTAGCATCATTGTCTCTGGGTCATTAATAAGTCGGCGGACAGTTCTATTGGTCTGCCCATAACTGGCCTGGCCGAGATCTCGCCCAGTGTCACGAATTTGAACCTTAATCCTCTCCAGGGAAGCTATAACTACTGCCCTACCCCGGATATCGAGACAGTTACGTGCCCACACAATGCCTGATTATAATGTTGAGGTACAACGCTTTCAATTGTAAATTTAAAATTTCAATGCGTTAGTGGTAATAATTTACATTGCTTATGTAAAATCGTGAATACATTTATTTTGTTTACAGCTCTGTCAGTTTTCAGTTAGTTTCTATAAGGAACTAGCTTTTGCTCGCTACTTTGTACGCGCGGATTTAAAGTAGAAAATCAAAGAAATAGACCGCTACTGGATGAAGTATCAAGATACGTATAACACAAACCGCATTCAATTAAGATATCTCATTTTTTTTATACAACTTAGAATGGCAAACAAGCTGACGGCCCACCTGATGGGAAGTGGTAACCGTCGCCTATAGACATGAGCAGTACCATGGACATAACGGAGTATACTGTTTCGCCCATGATACCCCCCATGCGTTGCCATTCCTGAGGACTCAGGTGTTATTCCTCTGTACCCAGTAAATTATCGCCATATCACCCTTCAAACCGAAACACAGCCATGCAAACACAACTGCTTCACGGTTGAAACACGAATGGGACAGAGGTACCCAAGTAATCGACTTTTGTGCAATGCCTCCCTAAACATCGTATAGTTACAAATTTATTATATTATATTATTATATTTATTATTACCACTCCCTAAAAAATATTTATTTAAATAACTTTATTGACCTTAGGAAATATGGTACAAAAGGCGGAGTTAATGTTAGAAGTATTCTTTAACAATCAACCTTTTGGATGAACAGTGAACCACGGATAGGTAAAGAAAATAGCAGCTAATAATGTTTACCTATACATAATAAATAATAGATACATAAATAACATAAAATGATAATTTATTTAAATTTACTGTATTTATTACTTAGATAAATGGTGCAATAAGGTGTAAAGAAATAAATATATTAGTAAGATAATGGTCTGTAGATCTTCAGTGTATAGTGTGAGTTTTGTATCTTGTTATATTCTTATTTCCGTTCTCAATTATCAGTCTTATCGTATTGGCTTGCTGCCATATCAAAATACAGACTAGTGTTATAAATGCGACATCTGTCTGTTTTGTTTTCATGGCCGGAATGGTATGAATGGAATTAAGTGTCATCCAAAGTTTCACGCGATTACTGTCGAGACGCAGGTATCACCTTGTTCTTTTAATATGAATAGTAACGTCTTAACAATTTATCCACGATTTATTTACATCTATAAATAGAGATAATAGTAACATCATTTTTAAAGTTTTACAATATTTAGCATAGTTTAGCTTAGGATTAGAATTGAAGTAAAAGGTTGTCTCTATCTTATATTAATGAGTCATTTTGTAAAATTTATAACTAAGAAATAAATGTTCCTATATATTTGACAATTTTTCTTAATCTTTCCGACATAGATTTATCTTGTCGCCTCTGTAGTACAATTGCTAAATCGCTGCTTCAATGATGGTCAGTTGTAAATCCATTTAAGTGCCCAGGGCGCACGCGTGTCGTGCTCAATTAAATACAATTAGTGGGTCTGGCTCTTACAGAAGCCGGCGGTGAATAAGTAGATGATCGTAATACCGATATTATCTATTTACCTAATAAAACTCGTAACTCGATTGATTAACCATGAATTGTTTAATTCGGAGAGCTTGGAACCATAAAATTTTGCACAGCTCTTCCTCATGTAACTTGAGATTTTCTGAAGTTCTTTGAGGATCAAAAGATAATGAATTTCATTAGTAACTAGAATTTCATTATAAATATTCCGAAAAAGTTGTTGTTTTAGAATTTTTTTATGCAACTGATAATGGCAAACAAGTTGACTTCCCACCTGACAGAAAGTGATAATCATTGCCTGCGAACAAGAACAATACCATGGAATTGTCCTAGTAATTAATATACATGTTTTACGTATATTTATTTGTTTAAACTTGTATGTATATTTGGCGGACTTAATACCGGATGGTGTTTTCTACTAGTCAACCTTTGGGCAAACAAAAAAATAGGTAGGCCGTGCAATCAAGAATTAAGGAAACATAAAGTTTTAAAAACTTTACATATTCATACATTGTAAACATATAATTAGAGTAAGATAAATATACACCAAATATATAATATATTATTAATATTTATTCATATAATAAATACATACAATATTGCTATATTGAAGAATTAGCTGTATTAAAAGAGTTAAGAAAACTATCTCTAACTCTGAATCACCGACATGGAAATAAAGAGAAAATGAGAATGGAAGACATAGGTTTATAAATCGCCTTTTTTAGGAAGTAGGAGTGCAATATATGCACATGTATCATGAAATTGTCTGATTCCATCATTATCATCATCATATCAGCCATTAACTGTTCACTGCTGAACATAAGCGTCGCTCTATTAGGGGGTTTTGCTAGTAGTTGTCACGCTAGGCAGGTGGGTTGGCAACCGCAGTTAGGCTTTTGGTGATGTTTTAAAAGGTACGCTGCTGTCTATTCCTTGACCACGAAGTTCCCTTAGTCGTCTCTTGCGATATCCACAGGAAAGGAATGGCCCATTCTATGCCAGGACCACATGGTAATTGTTTTCTGATGCTCTATATATATAATTTAAACATACCACGTCATGTTACGTACTTGATGTGGTATGTATTTTTTTTTAATGGATGATAATGGAAGGGTAACCCCACCCGCGCTATCGGTATACACCGGCGGGGCACCAGTGAAGAATGATAGGTGAGGTTGAAGCAGGTTTGTTAGCCCATCGTGACGAATTCAACAAGAATTATTCACGATGGTTGAACCACGTACCACCACGTAGAGGTCGACCTAATAAAGCATATTGCTAGCAATGGAGCTGTCAAACTCCATTGCTAACAATCCCTTTCCCCCCTGTGGTATGTATTAGTAACACGATTTTGTAATGAATTGAACCCTTTTAACCCTAATTTTATTTTATAACTATACTTATGTCATCTTTAACATGGTCAATGATGTCTTGTATCTCTATTATTCTATCTATATTGTTGTTATATATGTTGTTGTTTTTTTTTAGTATTTGTAAGTTCGTGTATTATGCAATGATGCCAAATTGTGTTTATATGTATATCAAATGCATTTTGAGATAAATACCTATGACAGACAGATACGTAAGTGATAAGATCACTGTCTGTCTTTCTTATCTAACCCAACATAGTCGACGTGTCTGTCTTCTGTCAAAGGGTTTCTTTTCCTTTGGAATTCTGAAGTCTTAGTTATTTTAGTTTATTCAATTATGACAACAAATTCAAACAAATTATAAATTCAAATAAAACATAATCAAACATTTCTTAATTTTTTTATAAATCAGAGAAATAGAAAAGTATTTATGAAGTTTATTTAAATGACAGATTATTTTATACAACTCGTAATTACTGGCATTGGTTGAGTTGTATGTATTAATATAAAAAGTGTCATATGTGTATATAGAATAATATCTATAGTCCATTTGTGTACATCTACACATATTTTCACATTTATAATAATATAATTAGATATGACAATGATATGTTCTTGTTACCCTTCATTAGGGGCATAAAGGCTCGTAGAAGTTAATGTGCGGCAAGTTTCAGGGTATTCCAATCAATACCTGTTGATACATCATCTTTTTCGATTGATCGCTTCCACGTGGTTTTAGAGCTGCCGGGTA